GATCTATATCTATATATAGAACTATATATATATATAGATATAGATCTATATATAGATATATATATACAGTTAACACTTCAGTTTTTAAAGAAAAATCTTGTTGTTTTGTTTGTTAATATTGATTGTATTGATCTGTATTTCTTTGTAAAGTGAAAACATGATATCATGGCTTTCTTTCAAACAAAAACATTGACACACAAATAGAAAAATGGTTTGTTTCACATAGAAAACACTTATGAAGAAAGCTCAAACAGAAAGCCATTTCCAGAAAAACACACCAGCAAACAAATATGTCTATTATACTCATATTTTCTGATCTGCTATAGTTAATATTTCACATACAGCCCATTTATTGATCACTTGGGAGCCTATTGTCGCCCTAAACACAATTTTCTTTTGTCTCTTATTTTGTTGCCTGGTTCACCAGGATCATATATCTTCCTCTGTTGCTGGGAAAGGGGAAACTCTTTTTCCAGAATATCATTAGGAGCATCTCTGTTTTCTTAGTACCTACAGAAGTAAATAATATAATTAGCAATGGAGAGCACACCGAGTTAGCTGGTTGGTAAAAAATATATTGAAGTGAGTGGATCTTGCCCCTTTTGATTGAAATATTTAAAAAACATTTCCTTTATTTTCACCGTAAAGGGATGCACCGTGGTTCAGACAGTGCCACGTCCTAATATCAACAGATAAGAGAGAACAGAAAAACAGACCACCATGACCACTTCAATTTGTAACTAAAAAAATATATTTTATTGTGTACATTGTTTTCTAAAAATTAAATAAAGCTAAAACCATCAACATATACAATCCTCAATATGATATGATAGATAATTAACCTAGTAGTTCATATACAATAGCATTAGTATGTAACAATGGTAATTATACATATTTCCATGGTTAGGTGCACAACTCTTGCTCTACGCGTTTCGCAGTTACCACTGCTCCTTCAGGAGCTTATGGGCATACACTATAATATAAAGACAAGTATTGTAAGTTACTCTTAATAAGTAGATATTAATAACATCAATGATGCTAAGTTTCAGTAAATCAAGATTGGATATACATACATTGTAGTTCACAGATTTCTTTTAAATCATGGCTCAAAAATAAATGGAAAACAGGGATATCATCACACAACTGGGAGGACCAATGCATCAAATCAACCAGGTGGGGGCCCAGGCATGCTCAACCAGGATCATCCCCAATCCTATCATGGCAAAAGGTACTCAATGTAATCTCAACATTGTCTCAAAGGGCAATCAGATAAATTAAATAGATTTAAACCAAAGGAACCTACCCAGTTTCATGTTGTAGGAAAGCATTATGGAATATAAAGCTATAATTGTGGGAGTGTTGCCAGTAGTCTTAGTTGGAAAACCACCAAGATTGATTTAGAATGTAGCTGCCCATCCTAGTTTTAACATATAAAGCATGTGAAGGTTTGTGTATGTAAGCCCAAACACTAAACTCATATTTGATCCCTCTCTTTTACATATACAATTGAAAGCATTTTGCTATATCTGCCTGTGCAAAAATAAAAATCTGTCCATTTTGTTTGAAATTTAGAGGAGCTGTCATGTGTCCTTTGCTCTCTGTGTTATCTCAAAGAGTCTATTTAGCACTCCTAGTTATCTTTTCTTCGACTTCAAGTCAGTTAGTGTCTGTTTTGGAGTTAAAGACAGTAGTTTAGCAAAAGAAACTGAGCTTGATCCCATATAAATATAGGTACCATGTTTACTTTATGCTAGTCTAAAGAGTCTGTAATGAATAGAAGCAATGGTGTAGATATAAGTGATCTTAACTCTCTGAGGACTTGTGAGTGCAAACTAACAGGTGTTCTTGAACTTAGTGAGATGCTTTCATTTTTTAAGGGGGAGCTATATAAACTGACCTTGGCTTCTTCCTATCAATATATATTTAACCACTACAACCCCCAATGGACGAGAGCAATTTTTTAATTTCTGCTAAGGTCCTGAATATTCAGCAATAACTTTGTCATTACTTTTGAATTTAAATACATATATAATTTTTTAGGGCAAACAAGGATTTTTTTTGTGTTTTTGGGGGTTTTTTTTGCAGTCCATAGGCACAATAATTAACTAAAAAATGCACTATATAAACTTGATCATTGTTATTTTAAAAAAAATAGTGCAAAGCTCTTTACAATATAAGGAAGAATTACAGTTACAATACAAGTCAAGACAAGATGGTAAGGTGGGCCCTGCCCATAAGAGCTTACCATCTAAAATGGAGGAGCAAGTGATACAGGAGGTGGTAGCTGTGTGGGGATGAATTGTTTGAGAAATTGATAATTTAGTGTTTAGGTGCAATAGGCTACCCTGAACAGATTAGTTTTTAGGGATCGCCTAAATAGGAGATAGACGAATAGGTTGGGGTAGGGAGTTCAGAAGGATTGGAGAGACTCTAGTGTAGACTAAGTCCTGGAGGCAAGCATGAGAGGAGTTGATGAGGGAGCTAGAAAGCAGGAGGTCTTGGGAAGAGTGGAGGGGATGGTTAGGGTGATACTTTGAGACAAGGTTTGAAATATAGCCAGGGGCAGAGTTGTAGATGGCTTTGTAAGTGGTTGTTAATATTTAGAATTTTATCCTTTGGGCAATTTGAAGGGATTGACAGAGGGGGGTTGCAGACACTGACTGGTTGGTTAGGTGGATGAGTCTAGCAGCTGCATTCATGATAGATTGAAGTAGGGATAACCTGTGTAGTGGTAAGCAAATGAGGAGGGAGTTGCAATAGTCAAGACGGGAGATAACAAGTGAGTGGATGAGTAGGTTCATGATTTTTTTGGTAAGAAAGGGGCATATTTTGGAGATGTTACAAAGTTGAAGGTGGCAGGGTTTTGATAGTGTTTGGATGTGGGAAAAAAAGGTGAGGACAGAGTCAAGCATTACACCTAGTACCTTGGGGGGGAGGGAGGGATAGTTGTGTTGTCAATCTCAAGGGAAAAGTTGGGGGAAGGTACACGGGGAGGAGCACATATTATGAGCTCAGTTTTTGAAAAGTTGAGTTTTAAGTGTTATGACATCCAGACTGATATGTCAGTTAGTAAATTAGTGACACATAAGGACACCGAAGGGGTGAGTTGTGGAATGGAGAGATACATTTGAGTGTCATCGGCATAGAGATGGCATTGGAAGCCATTAGAGGTTATCAACTGACCAAGAAGGGAGGTGTAGATAAAGAATAGAAGGGGTCCAAGGACAGAGCCTGGGGAGACCGCTACAGAAAGAGAAAGAGGGGAGGAGTTAGATTTGTAGGTGACATTAAAGCAGCACTTAGATAGGTAGAAGGAGAATCCTGAGAGAGCGGGATCTTGGAGGCCAAGCTAGTGGAGTTTTTTGAGGAGGAGCAGTGGGTAGTCAACTGTGTCAAAAGTAGCAGAAAGGTCTAATAGCAAGAGTAAGGAGTGGTGGCCATTGTTTTTAGCAGTTAGTAAGTCATTAGTGAGATTTAGGAGGGTAGTTTCAGTGGAGTGTTGGGGGCGAAAGCAGAACTTTAAGGGGTCAAGGAGGTTGTTATCAGTGAGGTGGTGGCTCAGGCAGTTGTAGATTAGGCATTCTAGGAGAAGGGGGGAGAATGGGAGTAAGGAGATTGGTCTGAGATTAAGGTTGGTGGGGTTCAGTGAGGGTTTTTTGGGTATTAGGGTGACCAGTGCATGTTTTAGAGGGAAGGGAATAATGCCAGTAGAAAGGAAAAGATTAAAAATGTGAGTGAGAGGATAGATGTGTGAGAGGAGAATGTGTAGGATAGAGTAAGAGGGTGACCAAAGTAGTGGCAAGGAAACAGGGCCCAGGGAGCAAATGGTGAGGTGGGATCCAGAGAAAAGTTTTGTAACCTCCTATAGTGACAGGGTCAAAAGAGGAAAGTAACAAGTGTAATGGTGGGCCTGATATGTTAATTTGGGAAGGTGACTGACACTAAGCTTTTATTTTTTATGTGACACTAAACAAATTAGTGAGCAAAATGAATTGAAGCTAAAAAAAAAAAGTTTAAATATTATTGGTTAGAAAAATAGAAAGAAATAAAAGAAATCAGAAGGAAAACACTAGCTAGGGGAATAAGGTTATATATGAATAGGGTAAACTAAGGATTATTATGTGGTTAAATCTGAACAAATTTTATTAAAAAAGAAGGTTCAATTTTTAACATCAGAAGGTGAGATTTTTGACAGCAGCAGATGAAATAGCTGTTGTGTATACACAGGAAATCCTGGCTGTTATTTTGACAGCCGGAAAATGCCAGCAAGTGCCAGGGGGAGCAGCAGCAGGGAGGAAGGCAGGGCATATGACACAGTTGTGTACTTCTTGCCCACAGGGGTAAAGTGTGTAATATCAGTAAAGTGAAGTTAGTAAAGTGAGTAAGGTTTTTAAAACACTCAAGTTTATGTTCTTTATCTTTTTCTTCCTATTTTAAACATAAACAATACCATTTTATAGGTTAGTTTAAATAAAATGTTTTCCATTACTGCAACCCAGAACATTGTCATGAGCTGTGCATTGTTTGATATCAACATATCCAACACAGTATCATTTCTAGTTGGGCTTTTATAAACTGTTCTATAGTAAGTATTGCTTTTAAACAGAAGTAACAATCTAGCAGTTAATTAGTTGTTATGACCGTTGTATGCTCATTATTTGGTAACAAAATAACTTGTGAGATCCAAACCTCATTCTTACTCTGTATACCATTAATTTCTGTTTCTTAATGTTATGATACATTATTTATTTATATTGGTTGGTTCCTAACTGGAATGGCAGGTTAGTGTAAACCATGCAATATTTTGTTGCAGTTTTTAACTCGAATATAATTATGTGATTTCAATGTTTTTATTTATTTTTGTTTCTAATCTTAGGTGTCTGCAAAAATGTTAGCACTCCTGATTGTATGATGCCTAGTAAAATGGCATCATGCTGGCCCTCCATCCTAGTATTCAACCTTCTCCTACTTTGTTCAGAAGAAAATGCACTGGGGTGCCCTGCCCGTTGTGAATGCACACCACAAATCCGGTCTGTTATCTGTCACCGTAAGCGCCTGTCAGCAATTCCTGATGGCATTCCCTCTGAAACAAAGCATTTGGACCTTAGTAAGAATCGTATTCGCTGCCTGAATCCTGGTGAGTTTTCATCCTTCCCCCAACTGGAAGAAGTGGACCTTAGTGAAAATATTATCTCAGTTATTGAGCCAGGAGCATTTGCTAACCTCTTCTACCTACAAACCTTGAAGTTAAAAGGTAATCAGCTGAAACTTATTCCAGCAGGGGTATTCAACAAACTTAGCAATCTGACTTTTTTGGATATTAGTGAAAATAAAATTGTAATTTTGTTGGACTTCATGTTCCAGGATTTACGGAACTTGAAAAGCCTTGAAGTTGGAGACAATGAACTGTTGTACATTTCACAGAAAGCCTTTTCTGGATTAGTAGGTCTAGAACAACTAACAATTGAAAAATGCAACTTAACTTCTATATCTGCCGACTCACTGTCTTATCTGCAAGGTCTTGACATTCTTAAACTTCGGAATTTGGGCATTAGTAATTTAGAAGAACAAAATTTTCAGAAACTTTCTTGCCTCAAACAACTAGAAATTGACTATTGGCCTTTTCTAGAGGAAGTCTGCCCAACAGCTTTTCAAGGACTAAATCTTACCTCTCTTTCCATCACTTATACCAACCTTACATCAGTACCAGCAACTGCTCTAAGAAGTCTTACTTACTTGGAATATCTAAATCTATCTTACAACCCTATTAGGATTATTCAGCGGGGTTCCTTCCGTGACCTAATCAGGCTCAAAGAGCTTCACGTAGTAGGAGCTTCTCTCACTATGGTAGAATCCCAAGCCTTTTATGGCCTGAGACAGATCCGACTCCTGAATGTCTCTAATAATCTCCTATCAACTTTGGAGGAGAGCGCTTTTCAATCAGTCAATACTCTAGAGACACTGCGAGTGGATGCCAATCCCCTTGCTTGTGACTGCCGACTTCTATGGATCTTGCAGCGAAGAAAAACCCTCAATTTTGATGTCCACCAGCCTGTCTGTGCTTCCCCTGTTGAGATTCAAGGCAGTGCTTTATGTGACTTCCCAGATTCAATACTTTTTGAATATTTCACATGCCAAAAACCCAAAATAAAGGACCGAAAACTGCAACACATTACAGCCCATGAAGGGCAGGTGGTATCATTCCACTGTAAGGCAGATGGAGAACCTGTTCCACTCATTGTCTGGGTCTCACCACAGAGAAGGATGATTACAAGCAGGAGTGTAGGAAGATCTACTGTTCTGCCAGAAGGTACCCTGGAGATAAGATATGCTCAAGTACAAGATAGTGGGACGTATATTTGTATTGCAACTAATGCTGGTGGGAATGATACTTACTTTGCAACACTGACTGTAAAAGGGGACAACTCTCCATATTCCAATCGAACACTGTATTTATCAGAATATAATGATACCTCTCACAATGACACCCATGTTTTTTTGAAGTTTACCCTGGACCTGAAAACAATTTTGGTGTCAACAGCCATGGGATGCATTACATTCTTGGGAGTTGTACTTTTTTGCTTCCTTCTTCTCTTTGTATGGAGCAGAGGAAGAGGACAACATAAAAATAACTTCACAGTGGAGTATTCATTCCGTAAGGTTGATGGGCCTGCCTCTGTTGCTGGTCAAGGTGGAGCTAGAAAGTTCAATATGAAAATGATATGAAACTTGAAGACTAAGTAATACTTTAGGACACTGTGAATTTTGCTAATTAAAGGTAGTGAACTAAAAAGTGTGCCTCATCCATGAGATTATATTACCTGCCTGTAATTACATGCTTATGGCATCTTCCATTCATATTAATTACAAGGGCTATTGATGGCTCTTGCCAAGTGGATTGTCTTTACCAGCCAATCACATCTGTTGTGCGTGACTGAACAGAGCTGGTTTAAACTGCAAAACCCAGAATTCCAAGAGCTGAGTGCCTCACCCACACTACACAGTAAATATGACAAGTTGACAGTTTAGTAATAGAACACACTTGCTGGATTCCAAGTATATGAGATGTAATCTTCATGTGGCATGGATATCTGGAAACCAAATGTTTTGGGAAGATGACACGATAAACCAGGGTCTGTAAAACAGCCTTAACTGAATAAATGAGATTTACTGATAATGACTCTATCCCAGAAAAGTTACTGAGTAATTCAATAAAGCAAGACCCAGCACATCTCTGGAAATATTCAAAAACACAATTTGAGCCTGACTAACCTGGAACACCAACAGTCTGCTAGGTAAAACTCTCAGGATATATAATGGGACCACCACAGACCAACGTTAATTCCATAATTAAAAAAAAAATGTCAGCAAGAAGAATTGGATGTAGAACCCAATACAAGTGACACATCAGACACATTCAAGCACAGTTTGTGAAACCCTTGAAATAGAATTATGCATTAAACATCTTTATGGCATACATACAAACATCATTATAATACAAATCCGAGAAAATGTGACATTATCCAAGAACCATATAAAACACACAAACTAGTGAGCCAGTTGAAACAATCATGCTGCACTACTAAGATTAATATAAGAATGGTGTCAAGTATTAAGATGGGGTAGATTTAATATTTGGGATTTTCATGTTAGAGCGTCCGTGCTTTGCACAACACCATCAAAAATGTTAAGTATTGTGCATGTTGAGTAGATTTTATAAATCATAAATAGAGTTGGGAAACTAAAAAATGTATAAAACATCATGTTTTTTTTTCACTAACCGAATTAATTGCATTTAATACAATTATAAAAAGTAAGAGAGAAATTAAAACTGATATACAGACCATAAATTCAATCTATTGTACCCTTCAGTCTTGAAAGTTGTGAATACTGAAGTCACAAAACCCAATTGTTGCAGACAGCTTAGTTTATTAAATAGCAATATTGCTGAATATCAATTTGCACTTATTAGAAATTAGGGATGCACCGATACCGATACTAGTATCGATATCGGTGCCGATTCCGAGTATTTGGGCAAGTACTCGTACTCACCCAAATGCTCTGATGCCTAGCACGAGAACTTCCGGTATCAGGAAGCCGGGCAGCGCGTCATTGCACGCTGCCCGGTTTCGCGATTGACCGGGAATCGGCTCCATGCTCTCTTGTCACTTGTGATGAGAGAGCATGGAGCCGACTTCCCGGCCAATCAGGAAGCCGGGCAGCGTGTAATGATTGGTCGGGAAGCTGGCCAATCAGGAAGCTAACCTGGTGAGGTAAGGTTACCTTACCTTAGTATGTGCAGCCTGTCACCCCCGAGGCCTCTCCAGCGAGAATGCGGCCTTTGTCCGTTACCCAGCCGGAGCCGTCCAATCAGGAAGCCGGGCGCCATCTCATGACGCAACTCCCTGCTTTCTGATTGGCAGGGAAGCTGGCTTCATGCTCCCTCATCATCTCATGACAAGAGAGCATGGAGCCAGCCAATCAGAAAGCAGGGCGTTGTGTCATTACACGGCGCCCGGCTTCCTAATTGGCAGGCCAGACGGCTCCGGCTGGGTACCGGACGAAGGCCGCATTCTCGCTAGAGAGGCCCTGGGGGTGACAGGCTGCACACACTAAGGTAAGAGGGGACTTTCTTGTTAATCGGGAAGCCGGGTGGCGACTCTTTACACGCTGCCCGGCTTCCCGGCTAATCAGGAAGCCAGGTGGCGAGTCATTACACGCCACCTGGCTTCCTGAATGGGACTTCCGTTACTCGGTAATTGGTATCGGCGAGTACCGGAAAAAAATTATCGGTACTCGTACTCGGTACCAAAATACCGGTATCGGTGCATCCCTATTAGAAATAAATTTTTACAAATAAGTTATGTGCAATGCAAATACTAAACTTATTATGTCATCTTTGTCACAGGCTGTAACAACTAGTGTCTGATTAATATTTATTGTAATATATATATAAACAACAAAAAAGACTCAGTGACATATATAAAACTATAAGTTCATAAGTGTTGTTCTGAAAACTGTTTGGGTTTAATACATGTAATGCTAGTATTTGGTGACAGGATTTGAGATGACCTATAATACTTTTGCAGAAACAGTTCTGAAAAAAAAAATCTATGAGAATAAGCGGTAGCATTTACAAGCACCTCCAGTGTTAATGTTTGTCCCAACCTCTGTCACATTTAGATAATGTAAATAAAAACATGTGAAATAAAAAAAAAGAGAGAGTTTGTATTTTAAATATTGTCATTACATATATCAACTGCATACTGTTATCAGAAAACAAAATTTTAATTGTAATAAACCTAATTAGAACAAATTTCCAATAACAAAGGCAAGTATGACATGTACCCAATATACTATCTAATTGTATACTGTAATCTGTCACAAAGCAAAATATATATGTGTGCTCCATATTCTGTATTTTGAACACTGATATTTAAACAACATGGAAATACTAAATTGTAACATTTCTGTTTTTACCAGGGTATTGCCTCACTGTGCCAGAGTTTAGATGGTGTTTCTGACACCCTCCCTCTACATATTAATAGATACAAAAATACAAGTAACAGGGATAAAGGGGTTGGTTGGAGGAAAGGCATACAGTCCCTTGAAAGCTTCTATATGAGATGGGAATCTCTATCAGATTAAGGAACTTTGTTTCCCTTACAGCAGTCAGTCATGTTCGAGCTTGCCATGAATAATTACAATTGGAAGAGAAGAAAAGTAATGTTTTGACTGATTGCTAAGGGAAAACACATTTCTCATGTCAGACACCTTTATGGTAGGAACATTACTGTCCTGCTTATAAAATCTCTCTAGGTTTAAAAAGCAATTCTCGGCAAGGCATATTGCAAGTTATAGGCAGAGAGCCTAGTCAGATTTACTTTAAATTTTGTTGTTGCCCCTTGCAGACAGTCATAGCAAGCTTTTTGCTGTGCTTTTGGGCACACTGCTGTATCTCCCTTCTTAACTATGCAATTTCCTTTTCATGGTCCAAAGCAAGGAAGATAAAGCTGCTGAGAGCTGAGAGAGAGTAATGTTGAACCTGAAGCAAACTAGACATTTTGCAAGTTATAGGCAGAGAGCCCAGTCAATTTAGATTCTGGACCAAAAGACAAAAGACATGGATACAAAATCTATAGAAATTTAACAGGAGAGCCTGGTTCAGAAAATATATGACAGGATGAGAGTTAGAAAAATTCAGTAGGTGCATTGTATCCCTTAATTTGCACTCGTGCCTAGACTATGGATATTAAAATGTCCACAAATTCTTAACAAACAGTAAAGGGGCTTTAATACAAGGCCTCATGAAGTCAGTTCATAGTCAGTTTTACTGTGTACAGCACCTGTTGTATGTTTACATTAGAAAGCTGGCAGGTCGACAAAGTCCCTGATGCCAGAGAAATAAGGGGAGAGGAGCTATGGTTTTAGTGCTTCTGTTGTGAACTTTAAGGATTAATGACTCTACAGCTAAAAAGCACAGTAAGGGTTTGTTGTTAGGAGGAGCATGCAAAACGATTTACAAAAAATCTATCCCATGTTTGCTGATTTTAGCAGGCTACTGTTGTAAGTGGTCAAAATGAAGAGGCTTTTAAACATTCTTTATGCTAAACCCCTGGTTTTGTTTGAATGGACATAGATATTAGCTAGTTTACATTATTTTTAAATGAATAAAAAGGATATTATAGATATGTGTTCTTTGCTACATGTTCATAATTAGAAGTAGATACATCTGAAATGACTTTTCCAGCTGTAAAATAAACTAAGTATATTAAAAATCAAAGTATTGGTGTTAGATAAATACAATAGTAAAAACACCACCAAACCAGAAATCTGAATTCAGTAAAGAATAACATTAATGTTTTTTGCTTAAAATTACATATGATGTAAACAAATATAACGTATCATATGATGCATATCAAATCACCTTTAGTAAAAGCCACATTTCCAACAGTGAATCTAGAGATATCTGCAGCTAAAATGTGATAATTATAATCATTTTGTTTTATGATGATTTATTGCATATTTTTTTCCATATAAAATCTACCCTAAGAGGTTGCTATCAAATTAAGGGATCATTAGGGATGCTTGTAGGGATGGAGAGGTCATCCAGATTTGTTACAGGTTTAGTTTTAATTTTCTTACTAAATTGTTTCTTAAATAGCTGTTATTCAGCAGCAGCCAAGTACCTTTACTATCTCTAAGCTCTCTAATCAAGATAAGAGTAGTAAAGTACTGGTTATGCTAACAAACCTATATGTTGGAGCCTTCCAATTTAAGCGAAAGGGGATGAACTTCAATGGAAGTCTAACTGGTGTAACCATTTCTGCTCTAGGAGAGTAACCCACAATCAATTTACAAGAGTCCTCCCCATGGATATACTATGCTAGGGCACATTGCTAGGAACCACAAATAATCTTAAATTGTCATGCAATGCAACATTTGTTTGAGGTGATCATGGATCCAACCAACTGACCACAAGGACATTAATATTTGTTGCATAAGTGGTTATTAGTCACATTAGAATAACATCAAGTTTGGGTTTATAGCTCAAGAATCACCACTGCTGTAAAGCCTTTTAAAAAAACAAAAAGCTAATAAAGCAAGAGCAACAAAATGTAACCAAGGTGATTTAACATACCCGTTGAGAACTGTTAATCAACAAAGGGGTTATCCATTGATCATACATAGAAGATGCCAGTTTAGACTCCTCTGTGTCAACATTACAATCCACCCACGCCACTACACGCCTGACATGGAATAATTAAATTACAGCTACACCAGAAGTGGGGGTGAAATGTGAACAATGATACCGATAAAATATTGTAATTCAGTTCTTAAGAGTTACATTACATTGGCATAGATAGAATCAGACCTTCAATGTAAACAGCATTGCCTTGCTGCTTACAAGAAGAGATCAAGGGTTCCATTCCATATTGCTGCCTGAAGCAGACTGAATAAGTGAGGAACATTTTCTACAAAGTGAAAAACTCTTTAAAGCAATTCAGGAATACAATATATATA